CTCAATGCGGTCATCGATGTTACATTAACGATACGAATATTTGCTACCGGATGTTTGCTCGTGCTCTTATCATGATCGGTTGGAAAACGTTGATGAATATAACATTGGTTAGTTGGTCGTAGAAAATCATCGGCACGATTGAATCATTGTCGTGACTGGATAAAGACCGGCTTTCTTTGACTAACACAAGTCTCGTGTTGCACCTGCTCAGCTTGAAAGAATTCGTTCGAATAGGATCGGAGGAATCGGGGTTGCTCATTCATCTTTATTTTCTCTCGAGTCATGAGTTTTGCATAAGCGATTTAACAGAAAAAAGAAAAGGAAAAAGAAAAAGAGAGAGAGAGAGAGAGAGAGAAAGAGGAGGGGGAAAAGAATGATATATTAATTGAAAATATATCTGTTGCTTTTAGATTGCGTGGTGTACGACAATGGCCGAGTTCATGGCAGTTCGGATTCGAACGGTGATCAATGGACGAGTTATACGTTCCCTGAAGTTCCACAACGACATTTCGCGGAGCAATTGACTCGGATGGATGCCGAAGTTTTTAAAAAACTCGTGGCGCATCAATGTTTAGGCGCAGTTTGGTCTAGAAGAGATCGTTCGAGGAATCACGAGGCAGCTACGGTCTTGGCAACGGTCAATCAATTCAACGCAGTATCATTACGCGTAATATCGACCATTTTGACAGAACCGACAATGAAGTCGCAAGACCGTGCGAGAATTCTCGAGGCCTGGATCGACATAGCGCAGGAATTAAGAGTTCTCAAGAATTTCAGTAGTTTGAAGGCTATTGTTTCCGGTTTACAAAGTAATCCAGTTTATAGGCTCGAAAAATGTTGGCAATCAATGCCAAGGGAAAAGCACGAATTGTTTCGTGAACTCGAAAGAATTTTCTCCGAGGAGAATAACGCTTGGACGCAGCGAGAATTGTTGATCAAAGAAGGTACAGCTAAATTCGCCGACACCGCCGGTAGAAGCGACAGACATCTTCAGAAATTATTTCAAAAGCAAAATACTCACGCTGGAGTAAGTTGTTATTTTTCCTATCTTTTTTTTCTTTTTCTATTTTTTTGTTTTATTTTCTTTTTTATCCAACACAATTATCCGACGAATGATATTATTTCATATATTTTCTAATTTCAGAATATCAGTTACGGCACGATACCGTACTTGGGCACGTTCTTGACAGATCTCACGATGATCGACACCGCCATCCCCGATACGATAGCGGACGGTCTGATCAATTTCGATAAGAGACGAAAGGAGTTTGAGGTACTGGCAAGAATAAGATTGCTTCAAGGTGCAGCAAATGCATACAACTTTAGTACGGATCCATTGTTCGATCGTTGGTTCCATTCCGTGGTGGTGTTGGATGATCGAGAGGCTTATAAATTGAGCTGTCAAATCGAACCACCACCACCTGGTAACACCTTAAATAGTCGGGGCAAGAAGAAACAGGTCAGGCCATTAATCAATATTTTTTTTTTTCGTTGATCCTCATTCGTTCCCGAATGTTGTATTTTAGCCGAAGGAAGACTCAGATCGAAATTTACTTTACAGAGTCATCAGGGTCATCGGAAGAATGACTCGATAGCCTCTACGTCGAGTTCTAGCAGTTCGCAATTCTATTGCGATCTCGATTCTTTACCTAGTTCGCCGCATAACTCGTTGGATCGTCGTACATCGCCTTCGCAAATGTCAAGCTCCTCTTCGAGTTCTTCTCTTCCTTCCTTGGACGTGTCCTTGAGCTCGGGCGGAGGTGGCGGCGGAGCAGGGGTCGGTGCCGCCAATCGTTTGGCCCCACCGACCGGGACTTCTTTTACAGGGAATGGAAGTACTCCGAATTTGGTTGGATTGTCCAGTCCAAGTCATTCGCACAAGAATTCACCAGACTTTTACATTATTAAGGTTACCATGGAAAGCGAGAACGTTGAAACGGACGGTGTTGTGCTTTACAAATCTATCATGTTATCCAACAACGAGAGGACTCCCCAAGTAATACGTAATGCTATGCTCAAACTAGGGATCGAGGGTAGTCCTGATCAATATACTCTCGCCCAAGTTTTACCCGATCGAGAAATGGTTCTACCCCATTCGGCTAACGTTTATTATGCCGTTAATACCGCACATAATCTTAATTTCATTCTACGACCTAAAAGGGACGTCAACGACTCTGCCACGGAAAGTCCGAAAAGTAAAAACAGTCACAATCATAAACGGTAGTGTTGGCTACACGAGGATCTTATCCTCGGTCTATCCTCGAAACTTTCGATGCGACATGATCGTTTATCGCGATTCGAATACGATCACGAAGGATAGGGGAAACAAAAGATAATTTAAAGAGAGAAAATATTCCTTTTCTTTTTTTTTTTTTTTTCTTTTTTTAATTTATTTTTCATTTTTCTTTTCTATTCCTCGAATCAACCATTCGACACTCGCGATACTCGTCGATTACATTATTTCGAAGAAAAATTTCGTTTGTATCGAATGATCGACATTGAATCTCATCGCGCTGCCATTAGGTTTGTTTCGTCAATTTACTTGTTTAATTTTTATTTTTCTTTTCCCCCTTGTAATTTTTTTCTTTTGCTCTTTTTTCTTTTTGTTTTTTTTTTGTTTTTGTTTTTTTTGTTTTTTTTCCCTTGTGAGAACCATGACAGAGCCGTTACGTCGTCCGTTATTTCATAAATAATCGATCGGATCCGTAAATCGTTAATCGATCGACACTGATCGCGATGAATTTAATTTATAAGATACGTCATTTTTATTCTTCTTCCATTGCAACGTAACGACGGACTAATTAATTAAGTGTTAGCAAAATAAAAAGAAAATGAAAAAAAAAGAAAATAAAAAAAAAAAAAAGAAAGAATAGACACCGTTTAGCATGGATACATAGGTTTTTATCTATCGTATAGAGATTGTTTAGCCGTGAAAGAAATGTAGATGAAGGAAGGTATAATATTATTGTACAATGTAATATCGAACGCGATACGTATATTTACAAACATTTGCGTTATACACGCTACACACATACATGTACACTCATTCTTACGTACACGCACACACACACACACATACACACATACACATTTATGTTTACCTAGCGGTTATATTGAGATTATAAGGAGAAACAATTTATTGGAATTAGAGAAGAAGAAGAAAAAGAAGAAGAAGAAGAAAAAGAAGAAGAAGAAGAAGAGGAAGAAGAAGAAGAAGATGAAGGGAAGGGTCCGCGTTGGAAAGATAAAAAATCATTGTGATCGTCGTGTATATAAAAAAAAAAAAATCTTTTGGAGTTTCCGTGAATCGAGTGTTATTTGTAAAGGATTGAATCGTTCAAGTGGACCAAAAAATTAGATCATCCATTTGAAAGAAATCCAACGGGCGAATTTATATTGTCAATTAATTATTTTCATTCAAACGAAATGATAGAAATATGTATGTCGGTTTAATAATTGAAAACCTTTCGAAGGGAGGACCAAAACTTATAAATTAGAGGATTTAGTCTCGTTCGATTGAGTTATTTGGAGAAAAAAGAAAAAAAGAGAAAAAAAAAAGAAAAGGAAAAGAAAAGAAGAAAACAAACAAAAAGCAATAGAAAAAAGAAATGTATAGCAAACAAAAACAAAAAAAATAAAAAAAAAAAAAGAAGAAAGAAAGAGAGAAAGAAACAAAATGGTCAAATGAATTCTGTGATATCCGAATCGCTTATTCTGGCCTCGAGAAATAGAAGATAGATCATCGACGATCGGGTCCAGTTTCGATGCGAAATCAATACATTTTTTTTACCTTCGTTCTCATATCACGAATAAATAAATACATACATAATTAAGTAAATAAATAATTAAATAAATAAATAAATAAATAAATAAATAAATAAATAAATGAACGAATGAATGAACAATGGCAAATTGGCAAGGTATGAATTATTATTATCGTTTGATTTTATTTCAATTGGAAAGAATGTCGTTGATATATTTTTGACATGCAATATATGTAAGAAAGTAGAGCACACAATAACAACGGGTAGAGTAATGGATAAAGGGGAAGAAAAAAGTAAAAGAAAGAAAAGAAAAAAAAAAAAAAGAAGGAGAAAAGAGGCGATCCTTCGTACAATATAACAGTAACAATAATCGATCGAGCTTCGTTTTTGATCTAAAGTACATGGGTGTTATTCTTTTTTCCTATTTTCTTTTCTATATGTTGTCTTTTTTTTTCTTCTTCTTTTCCTTTCTTCGTTTGTTTTTTTTTCTCTCTCTCTCTCTTTTTTGTGTTTGTTTTCCTTCATTTTGGTTTTTTTCTCTCGTCCTTTTTTTTTTCTTTTTTTTTTCCTTTTTCTTCTTTTTAAATTAGTTTTAGGCAATTTTGTACTTATCTTCGACGAACTCACTCTCCCTTCGTTGGATATTAGCTAGTTATTAATTATAATATTATACGTGTAGACAAGCTATATCCGTTAATGATAGAAGTCGCGTCGTGCAAATTGGATGTATAATGTGAACCGATAACGAAAACGAAAATAGATGGTCTAAACTTTTTTTGATTTTTTTTTTTTTTTTTTTTTTTTTTTTTTTTTTAAGAAGATCCTATCGGCACAAATCACCATATCCACGTAACACGATCGTTCCCAGAATTATTCATTATCGTAATAGAGATAAACAAATATTTACTTTTGGCTAAATGATGCATTTTTCGTGAAATAATTTCAACGTAAGTTTAACCTCTCACGATAATCTCGATTGTCTTTGAATTCCTTATCTTCATAACAATAACAACATTTTCTTTCCTTTTAATTAATCGTAAAATAAATCCTACATTTTGTTTTATCTGTCCACAATAGATACAATCTATCCTGATTATAAGAGTCATCATCCTGCATGGATTTATTTGATATCATTAAAATATCCAAATCCTCGAAAGTTTCAATCCTTATGGATGAAAATCCTAACGGATGCGTTAGTTAGCACCGATAACGTCGCTCCATCGAGTCGATGAGTGGACTTCCGGAATGCAAGTACATCCGGCACGCGAACCTGTTGAGCCAAGGTTAAAATGGTAGAAAGTGCAAGTACCCTAAGTTTCACCCCGAAAGGCAGGTAGGTACGACTTTAGCTTTGTCTTTAGGTCGTGCTAAGAATAAAACCTAAGGTAGACGACAGTGTTCCTAGACGATTTATCTTATCTTTATCTGTCTCTCTCTTTCTCTCTCTCTCTCTCTCCCTTTCTCTCGTTCTATCTTGTCAGCTTTTTTGATCAATGTGATTATGAAAGCAAAGCTTCTATCGTAACGACGACGACGACGACGACGACGACGACGACGACGACGACGACGACAACAACGAGAAAGCATTGTCTAACAACGGAAGTTTATATTGGACGTTGCCACGAGTTTAGGAAACTGGCTCAAGGTCATACCGACGACGTCAAAGATAGAAATTTGCAAACTGTAGGAATTACTGAAGAGAAGGTATAGATATATTTCTTGGGCTTAGAACTTTGATCGATTTTTCAAACGAATTTAGACATTACACAATTGTTCCTGTATATTTCTTGATAACTTCCATGTACATATATATATATATATAAAATTTAAATTAAAAAATACGAGGAGAAAATGATAATTTGACGTTTCAAAGTATTTCGTGAAGTTAAATTGCATGTCTGACTACTGTTTAAGTCTTTCCATTGTTAACTGACAATTTATCGTACTAATATTAACATGTATATACAGAGAATGCTAATGTTCCAAATTTATGTTCTTTGTTGAAAATGGAGAGAGAGAGAGAGAGAGAGAGAGAGAGAGAGAGAAAGAGAAAGAGAAAGAGAAAGAGCATCATACATACAAACACATACATGTATATAACGAATGTTAATCAAATTTATATTTCAATTTCACATGACGTCTTTGCTTACGTAACGAATACATTAATTGAAACGCCTACGATTGCCAAGAAAGGTCTCATTTTGAAGGCAAACATTCAGTTTCGAATTCAAAAAGACGAAACGAAGAGGAGAAAGGAAGAAACGAGTAGGTGGAGGTAAAGTCAAAAATAACTTCCTTTCTTTCTATGGATATTCCCCTAGTTTTTCTTCCTTTTTCTTTTCCTTTTTCTTTTTCTTTTTTTTTTTTTTTTCTTTTTTTTACGTATACATATACGGGCGTATTCGAGCATAGAAAATCGTCGAATTGTTATTCATGCGTCTCGAGTTCGTGTAGAACTCTAAAGTCGAAAAAAAACCGATGCGCGTTAATGAGTATGCGAAAGTGGTGAAAAGAGAAACGATCGCATTGGTATAGACGTTTCTTTTTTTTCTCTCTTTCTCTCTTTTTCTTTTTTTTTTTTTTGCTCTCTTCTTTTTCTTCTTTTTTTCGTTTCAAAGGCTTTTTTCAAATTTTATTAGATAGATAAATATGTTTACTTATAATCGACAATGATTTTGTACAATGACGGAGAAAATTATGCATTATAAATTAACAAGAATGAGGTAAGGAGTGAGTATTCATAAGTTCGGACTTAAAGATCGATTAATTTCAATAGACGACACGAATGTTCTCCATTCAGGAAAATGCAGATGTGTCCAATGAGCCTGAAACAGTATCTCCGTACGTCCATTTGTCTTTTCAATTTCTAATGGACTTCCATAGTATAATACATAGTCCTTAATAATATCAAATTTATAGAATAACGGTGTTTTGCTGTTCGGTGAAATTCCAAAAAATTCATTTAATACGATCGAACGGAAAGATGGAAGAAGGATAAAAGAAAAGACGAAAAAAAAGAAAACAGATTTATATATTCATCCGTTAATAATTTTATTTATATTCGATTATTATTTTTTTAATCGATAAAACGTCATAATTAACATACGTTAGATCGATTGTAGTGATTACTAATTGAGAATTGGCAAAAATATTTCAAGAATAAATAAAAGTACGTGATAGGGTAAATAAAAAGGATTCTCCGATGAGTTTTGCGCCCTCTCTCTCTCTCTCTCTCTTTCTGTGTGTGTGTGTGTGTTTTTGTGTTTGTGGAGACACGTTAGGGGTGGTGTATAAAAAGGTTCGATGAAAGTCACGACAGATGGCGCGTCGTTCGTTGGGGGTCGAAGAAATAGTGATATATAGTCGGCGCCGATTGAACTGGTGAACTCGAGGATGCAACCCCCGGCTGAGACCTCGGCATCCCGAGCAACGGCAGTCGCGAGCAGTCGCGAGCTTCGTGCCGAACTGGGGCGATGCTTGTCACTCGTTTACGCGATCACGAACGTTCGTCATTGGTGCTGCCGTCGGTAACGTTAAAACGTTATTTCTTAAATCCCTTTATATCTTATATTCCTTGTCGAACTCCTCGATATTATCTTTTATCCTTTTTACGACGATCACGACATTTTTTTTATTCATCTCGACGCCATCGTAATCGGCTCGAAAGCTTCAACGACGCTACGATACCCAGGTCGACACGTGAGCACGACGACGTTCTACCAACGAGATGAGAGACGTGAGTTTTGAATTAATGTGAAAAAAAAAAGAAAGAAAGAAAGAAAGAAAGAAAGAAAGAAAGAAAGAAAGAAAGAAAGAAGAAGAAGAAGACGAGAAAGAAGAAAAAGAAGATAAGAAAAGAGAAAGGAAAAGGAAATAGCAAAAAAAAAAACGAAAAGAAAATAAGAGAATTAGATAAGGGAGAGAAAAAAGAAATGTACTTTTCACTTTTTCGTCATATAAATTTTCTTCGATTTTTCTTCATTCATATCGTTTATTTATTTATTTATTTAATTAATTTTTCTTACGTTCTGTGTCATCATTCATTAGTTCGTTTGTTTTTCATTTTCTTTCTTTTCTTTTTCTTTTTTCTTTTTTTTCTTTTTTTTTTTTTTTTCGGTATCCCATCGGAATTACTATCCGTCGTTAGCTGTTCGTGGTTTTAAATGGACAATGTCTAATTACAGAGGTAACTTTGTGCGTTTCAGTGAATAATTATGTTCTCCCATTAATTCGCTAGTTGGTTAGTTATTTACGTTAATTTCATGTCACATCTCGTTCGTTCTTGTTGCCATAGAAAAAAAAAAGAAAAGAACAGAAAAAAAAGAAAAAAAAAAAGACGAGGGTGGGGAAGAAAAATCTAACGAAGAAAACAAAGTGTGAAGAAAGATCGTCGGTTAGTACAATCGGATTATTTCGTCAAGGTCTTATTACGCCGACTCGTTCCTCGAGATATTGGAAAGAACATGAATTATGATCGGAGATCGTGGAAGCACTTGAAAGTCTAAACAGCAATGGCGCGCGATCGACGTTCCATTTAACAGAGTTCGTCCTTTTCGTTTACCACCGATTCCCCCTTCCCCTTTAGCATCATCCCTCCAACCCTCCGCGCCCCCCCCCTCTGTGTAGATTATTTATTATCTTTGATTTTTTTTATAACGTTCCATTCGTTTCGTTTTACACGATTCAATAAATTATATAGTCATAATCGTATCATTTGCAAAGGTTATTATCGATTTTGTATCGAACGTTTTAATTTTTTTCTTTTTTTTTTTTTTTTTTTTTTTTTGCTTAGCCCACCTGGAGCATTGAAAAAGAGAAAGATTTAGAAATTCTTACCGATTAGAAAACTGAAATGTTGATGATTAAAACGTGATATAAAAATAATATATCTCGGATGTTTCTTCGTATGTGGTATGTTATTCGTCTATTTTTTTCCTCTTCTTTTCTTTTTCTTTCTTTTTTTTTTCTTTTTTTTTTTTTTTTTTTTCTTTCATTCCCATCATAGATCTGTATATTTTATTTTTATTATTTTTTTTCTTTTTTTTCTATTCTTTTTTTCTTTTTTTTTTTTTTTTTTTGAAACTCAAATTTCTTTTGAAAGTCTCATTAGAAAAGGAATCCGGTACAATGAGGATAGTAAGAAAGAAACGTTCGCGTTACGTCATTTCTATCGTAATGTCGGTGTTCTTTAGTTCAACCATATCTTTTCTTCTGTTTTCTTTTTTTTTTCTTTTGCATCGGTAACAAGTTGCTAATTAAAGAGAAAAAGAAAACAAGTTTTTCATTAATAATGGCTATTATATCTTATTTAATAATAATAATAATAATAATAATAATAATAATAATAATAATAATAATAATTATTATTATTATTATTATTACTCTTATAAAACGGATGTTCATAATTGAATGTGATCTATAATAAAAGGAGAATAGGTAGGAGGTATGTACGTAAAAAGTAAATTAGAAATAATACTATAAACAGATTTAATTCAACGTTTAGTATTCTTTTTCCTTTTCTTTCTTTTTTTCTTCTTTTTTTTCTTTTTTCTCCTTTTCTTTCGTTTCTTTTTTTCTTCAGTTGACAAATAAATTGATAAATCTTATGATGATAACGATGTTTCAAGTTTATAAAAAAAAAAAAAAAAAAAAAAAAAAAAAAAAATTTAAACGACGTTCGCGGGTTACGTCGAGTGCGTGCAAACTTGATTATTCCGTGCCAACAAATCTGATGGTTAGCTTGAAAACCTGTAGATTATATGTTCTCTTGCCAAATTACCGAAAGGTTTCCGCGTGGTAACATAGAATTTTTTTTACGCTCGTGAACTCTTTAATAAGATAGGTGGTAGGTACACACACACACACACATATATATATATATATAATATATATATATATATATATATATATATATATATATATGTGTGTGTATAAAAGTTACAAAGAATCGATGTTTTTTCTTCGGACGATTTTCTTAGGTTGCTTTACTTAGTCTTTTTCCATTCGAAAAGAAAGAAAGTTAGATGGAATCGTCACGATATCGTTCTTCTATGCCGATCGATTCTACTTTTAACGATTATGCGATATACAAGACCTCTACCCATTTATTATTGATAAGGTTTTTTTCTTTTCCTCCTTCTTTTAATTTTTCTTTCTTTCTATTTTTTTTTTTCTTCTTATATAGTTTCTTTCTCTTCTCATATATTTCATTTCTTATATATATTCTTATATATATTCTTATGTATATATATAAGAATATATATATATATATATATATATGTATATATATATGTATAATTTTTTATTGTAAAAATTTAAATTCATCGACATCGAGATAATTAAAGATCTCATCCGTTATCTCATCTTTAAAGACTTAATATGATCCTTCATGATTTTTCTTTTTTTGGTCTTTGTTCTTTACGTTAGATACTATTGCATATTAAATAGACATAGTCATTTATTATTATATATACTTTTTTATAATTTTCTTTTAATTTTTTTTTAATATAATTTTTTATCATAAAAATGTAAATTCATCAACGAGAAAATTAAAGATCTTGTCTACTATTTTTATCTTCAAAGACGATAATACGATCTTTCATCATTTTTCTTTTCTTTTGTCTTCGTTCTTTTCATATTAGATCATATCTAATATGTATACAGTCTATAGTTAGATACATACATTTCTATATATGTATATGCATGTAATCATTAGTCTAACGTTATAGAAAAAATTTTTCTCTTCGATTGTACGCTTATTATATAGTGTATGACATTTAACATTGGATTTGTCGATAAAAATTATTGATTTCAACAATTGTTATCAAAAAAATGTCAAAGTAAAATTTCATCAAATATTTTCTCAATGTTATTAATAAGTACTAAATATTATACATATGGTCAATTTTTAGAAATTTCTTTTGTCCCCTTTTTTTCATTCTGTTCTTTTCTTTTTTTTTTTTATTCTTTTTCAATCACCACCGAGATAAATATGAGAGACATATCTCAATATATCGAAATAATAATTATCGATAGTTTTAATATTAATTGTCAGTTTAATGATGTAAAGAAAATATTTTTCTTTGATCATGCATATATTTAAATATTTACGTACATACATATACATATACATTTAATACATTGGATTTATCAATTAGTAAAAATTATTTATTTCAATCATTTTTATACAAATGTCTACTTTAAATGTCGTTTAAAATTTTTTCATAGGCTCAATAAATAAATATATATATATATATATGTATTTATTTATTTGATTTAAATAAATATATATGTTCATATATTTTTGATTGACATAGGAAAGATTTTCTTTTTGTATCTTGATTCTTTCTCGAAAGTTGAAAATGGGATCGAATGCACAGACACACGAGGTCTTCGGTAAGGGAGTAATCCGGGAAAATGTGCGCGCGCACGCTCACTTTTACGATGGAATACATTTTCCACGACAAGGCTTTTGTCAAACCTACCAAGAGCTTTTTATACGCGTTTACTAGTCGAACCGATTGGCTGGATTTGCCTGCCGAATGCAGGGACGTTTACCAGATCCTTTTGTCCGATTGCTTCTTCCATTATCGAGTAAGTACTCGTATTGACAGGATCCTCTTTTTTGGAGATGCAAAAATTCAAATCTCAGATTCGTTTTCATCGATGGACAGCCGCCAATTTTTCGTTCGAAGCTTTACGATAGAATTCGGAAAATCCAAACGTCAATAATATCGTGTTTGCTCCTAGAAATAAAGCATGAGCGAGAGAGAGAGAGAGAGAGAGAGAGAGAGAGAGGAGAAGAGAGAGATAGGTGTCCATTCTATTTAATTATATTCATGGTATTGTTGGACAAATAAAAAATGACGCGAACAAAGACATGAAATTAAAAATAAATAATAATACTTCGATATAGAAAATATGGTCGAAAAACGGAGAAAAAGTGAGAGACAGTGATAAAAAGAGAGGTACCTATTTCATTTAATTATATTTATGCTGATGTGTTTGGAATAAAAGAAAAAAAAAGATGTGTAAATATAAATAATAATTAATAATAATAATTAATAAATATAGACGAAAGGATATATATATATATATATTTTTTTTTTTTTTTATTTAATTAGATATATTTGTAATAGCTTTGAATAGGTAAGCCAAATAACGTGCGTAAATTATAAATGAATAAAAATAAATAATAGTTAATTAAAAAAGAGAAAAAAATAAATAATAGTAATAATACAATATAAAAAATATGGACAAGAAAAGAAAACAAAAAGAGAGAGAAAGAGAGAAAGAAAAAGAGAAAGAAAGAAAGAAAAAGAGAAAGAAAGAAGGAAAACAAGTAACATAGGAAAGCTTTAAAACCAAGATATATGTATCTTTTCTTTATCTAATGCTTTTTATCCTTGTAGACGTTTGATTTCTCCTTCCCTTTCTCTAATGGTTCCAACAATATTTGTGTTTTAACTTACGATCACGCACGGAAGAAAGTTAAAACTGTGAAATTCTCTTAAACGCTAAGAAAAAGTTTTTATGCTAAGAAAATTTTTACTTTCAAATCGTTCTCTTTGATTGTTCATTCGATTCCATCGTATCATTAATTTCACCCCCTCCCTCCCCGCCCCTCATTTTCCACGCGTTTATTTTGTAATTTTAAATAAATTGAAATTAATTAAATCGCAAGTTTCAATTCATTCGTAGAACTTATTTAGAGATTTAAAAGAATCAAAAAAAGGA